CAACCATTATTTACGGGTAATGACCAACCATTTGTGAAAGGGTGAGAAGGATACTCTAGGTATAGAATACAAAGATTTGCCGCTTGAGAGGATATGGCGCACACGAGCCCCGAAGTACCATTTGAGAGCAATTTCGGGACTTTTGAGGAGTGTTTGACAGGATGCGAGCCAAGAAAAGGAAACAAGCGCAAGGTAGGTCACTGTGTCAGTCTCAAACATTGGGAGTGCTCCTCAGGAAACGCTGCCGCTGGATTTGTTTTTTTGTTTGTTTGTTGTTGTTTTGCGCACGTTGAGATGTGGCTGTGGTGGTCAAAACCGTTTTGGGATCCCATTTTGGTTGGTTGGTGAATTCACCACCCATTGTAGAACCTATGTTAGTGGGGATTGGGATGTTCACTGGGGCGTAATTGCTTTTGACCCATGGCCATGTGATGTGGCGGGTTTGGACCATTTTAGTTTAGTGGCAAAGAACAGGTTGGAATCCTTCTGTTGGACAGACTCAGAAAGTGAGAAAGAGGTTGTCGGCGGCGGCAGGCGTCGGCGTTGCGACAGAGCAGTTGGAAGCATTGAATTTGGAATTGTTTAGCGAAGCAAGTTTTTTTGACCGCTTGAATGCCTTCACGCAACTATACAAAGGGGGTCGATATCGTGAATTTCCCCGGCCAAAAGTGGTTGGCCACCCGGGATAACCGCCGACATGTCAATGACGTTTTGCGGGCACTTCGAAGCGGTTTTTGACCTACCTGGAGTCTTTTTTCTGACCCTTTAGAAAATGGTTGGTCATTACCCAAAATCATGGTTGGTCATGGACCCATTTTTAATCCAGGTGAGTGTTTACTTGCTGGGCCGAAACTCTTTGGCCGTGGTAGATCTATGTGATTCCCTATAGCTTTGAATACGCTTTGAGGGCGTTTTGGGGGGCGAGGGAATTTTGGTACAAACCATTAGATTCATGTCCACCAGGAGGTTCGCCGATAAAATCAATACACGTAGACTCTCCATAACCCTTTAAAAATTGGTCCTTGACCCCATTATTTTGGGTAGTGACCCCCATTTTTTAAGGGTCGTGGAGGTTGTCTTGTTTTCTTTCTTGCGACCACCATGTTTGGTGTTCCTTGTGCTTTCTTTCAACAAAAAAACCCACCGAAAAAGGGCACCTGGACCCTAGAGTATGGGTCAAATGCAGAAAACCGGACTCCATTGCGGTCCAGGTACCCTCAAAAAACAGACACACCCACATGGCGCCCCCTGGATCGCCAGTTGCTGCTTTTTTGTCCATCCACTTTACTTTTTTTGTTTGGGGGTTCTCCCTGGCAAACTCTCAGAGATGAGGCCTGTGAAGCCGCACTGAGCGAGTCCGGAGCATTCGGAACCCGAAGGCCGAACGCCATCAGGCGCGCGGGGGGGGGGGGTTGCTGATGCGTGAAATGAGTGCGGAGCGCGCCCTACGGCTTGAGAACCGTACCTCGAGGCTCCTTCTGACCCTAAAAAAATTGGATCATTACCCAAAATAATGGTTGGTCATGGTATGTTTGATTCGGTCATATGGAGACTCCAGGTACGGCTTCATACCGTACGTGTGTTCTTGGTGTTTTTGGAGAGAAGAGGTGCTTGTCGGGGGCGGGGGTGGGTGGGGGGGGTGGGACAGGTGTAATCATGGAACCACCATGTTTCTGTTGCGCATCTTCCCAAAGGGAAACCCAAGCTTGGCGGTTGTAAAATGCGTCCGGCTCCTTAGGCTTTGTGTTGCAGTTTGTTTGGTGGTTGGGTTTCCATTTGACTCAGCGGGGGAAAGAGAATCCAAGTTGCCCTTATAGTAGGTACCCCTTCGCCGTTTTTCGATTGGCTCTTAAAGGGTGGTTCCCTGGGTTCCCTCAAGTACTTAAATGGATCCACTGGGTTTCCCAAACAGACACCCATTGGAATGTGTTTTTTTTAGACGAAATCCAAACAGAGGAAATCGAAATCCAGTGACCAAAGGCTTATGTTGGAATTCCCGTTTCGGTGACCGTTGTGTTTGTTTCCCTCCTGGGAATCCCCGAGAAGGCCACCTGCCAGGTGCCACGAGATGGCGATCGACACATCCAAGATGCGCCGAAAGAATCCGCTGCAGCCGCCCGAACTTCGAATGCCCTTACAGGGGCGATCGGGTACTTAGTGGTTAGTAACCATGGTTGAAACCCACAGAAAGACTGATAACCATGGCTTTTTTTGGGGGTTTTAACCATAGCTACCTGGAGTCTCCATGACCCGAAATAAAAATAGATCCATGACCAACCATTATTTAAATGACCCCATTTTTATAGGGTCGTGGAGACTCTAGGTACCAACCACGTACTAAGTACCCGACCACCCCTTCAAGTACTTGGATGTATGATTCGCCAAGTTCGTAAGTGGTTGGCCATTTGGGCGTGTCCAGCCCGTAATAACAAAGTTTCTCCCACTGAACGGGGGACTTGTAAGTGGTCATATCCTATAGGTTACCAACAACTTGCTAGCTTGGCCGAACATCCAAGTAATGACCCTGGATTAAGAACCCGTCATACTCATACGCGGATAGGGGGCCCGCCACAAGTGAATCCCCACTAAACCCAGGGACCCCTTCTCAACAAACTGGTGTTGATGAACTCTTTTTTTTCCGGGACTTCCAGCGGGAATTAGCAATCTCTTTTACCACAAACGACGAGGAAACAAGCACACGGGAGGTTCCATGCACCAGCCAGTTAAATATTGCAAGCAATGTAACCCAGTGGATCCTAATTGCCACTAGGTGACCAGCCAGCTTCCTCATCTTGCTTGAAAGGGTGGTTCTCGTAGATACTAGACTTACCACTCTTGACCCCAACACTAGAGCAATTCACGGGAAAGGTGATCCTTACGGCTGGAAATCCCGAAGACACACGCACACACACACACACACACACACACACACACACACACACACACACACACACACACACACACACACACACACACACACACACACACACACACACACACACACACACACACACACACACACACACACACACACACACACACACACACACACACACACACACATGACATGGCAGAACCACATCCCATGTTTTTTTGCCACGGCCACGGAGTGTGTATACCAAACCCTTTTAGGTGTATATCATTGCGGTGAATTTGTGTATTCTGTACAGTTTTGTGCCGAGTGACGCCAGCCACCTCCGAAATTGGATCGTTCCTCTTGGGAGTGGTTTCCCTATCCACTATTTAGAGCCCATTTTTGAGGATGTCAGGCTTGCGTTCCGTCCGGAGCCCAGCGAGAGATACAGCACGTAGACATTCCAGGCATCTTTTTGGCTTCCCGCAACTAGACGAAGCGTGCAAAGGCGCAATGGCTCATCCGATTGGTCCATTTGAGTTTCTGGACCCTCACAATTCCCTCAAAAACGGGCTATCGCTCCCAACATTATGGGGTGAATTCCCTTTTATGGGTAGTTTGAGGGTCCCGTGTTTTCTTTTTCGTAACCAAAAGGAGCAACGGAATCCATTTTGGAGGGGTCCGGTTCTTAAAAAAGAAGACACAGCCTTGCCCTTCCATGGTCACATAGGTTTGGTTCAAGCGCTTGCGCATGCCAGGGTCTTTTGGTGCGGGCCTTGCTTCAAATTTATTCGTGCACCCAAGTTTCCGCCATATCCGTTTCAGTGATTTCATTTCTCCAGTGTCTGAAACCAAACGAACCATAAGGACCTATCCCTTGAAAGCCAAAAGCCAAAATTGCTGGTTATCTGCCAGATGGGTCGATGACCGCCTCTGGGCATAGACCAACCATGACTTTGGGTAATGACCAACCATGTGTTAATGGTCAAAAGGCGACTCCAGGTAATCCCCTTGAGCCAAACCCAAAGCCGTAAATATGGGGTAGTTACCTCCCCCACCCCACCCACCCCACCCCACCCCTCCCCACCCCTCCCCACCCCTCCCCACCCCACCCCACCCCAACCCCACCCCACCCCACCCCACCCCACCCCACCCCACCCCACCCCACCCCAGGAAAGTGCAGATGCAGGTGACCTCAGGAGCTTGCCGCCGGCTCCAATTTGTTGCTTGGACCCAAAGGAAGTCCAAGGGCGACCCGCTAAGTCTCCACCTGGACCCTCATAAACATCCAACTTATACAAATGGGTTCCTGCAACCCAAAGTTAGTTTTTTTTGTTTGCATTTTTTCCAGTTGCTGAGTGGCGCCCCTTTTTTCCAACTGTTTCGGGGGAAACAAATTTCGATTTTGTCAAAGTCAACCAACCCCCAAAGATCGGATGATTTTTCCCCCATCCACTGGGCATCTGAGATCTCAGTGTTCAACTTGATGGTTCTAAGAGCTAGAATGATTCCAGAAAGATGGTTAGACTTTTAGCTTGGCTTGGTTTAGTTTAGTCTTCCAGACTGCAAGTTGACGGCAAACCTGAGCTTGAGATCCTGAGTTGATATTGGGGTAGGAATGATTCCAGAAAGCTTTGTATGGTTTATTTTGTGTTTTTTTGGGTCGTTCTTTCGCTGAAAAGAAGGCTTAGGCTTAGAGACTACCGCGGGCGTGTGGCTCAAATGCCGAAAACCTGAACGCTGCAGGTGGCGGGCTAAGTGCTCGGCTCATGTCAATCACTCCCTCAAATTTCGCTACAAATGGGTTGTAGCCCCAAGATTCTGGGTGAGTTCCTCTTTGTATGGGTAGTTTGACCAGGTAGTCACTTTTTTGGGCTTGGACCGTTTTAGTGGTATATAACAAGCTTGGTTACTTTGTATTGGCCAATCCACTCAATCGGAAGTGAGTATCAATCACCCGTCCAAGCCTGAAACCAGCGTTTGCGAGTTGCTGAGGCCTTGATTTCCACCGCAAGCCATTGTTATATGAAACGCAGAACGCATCGCAACGGGAAGAGGTTCCATCAATGTAAGCAGAGCTTGTCAACCAAGAAGCATTGACCCTTTGGATTTCTTCATACCTTACTTGGATTTTTGCCAGTTCCTTAGGGTTGTAGGATTGGAGTTGGTTTAGTGGTTGGGCTTCCGTACTCACAAGTGAACAACTCTTAGCCGGGCATCAGAAAACGGACAGCCCAGGAAAACCACCCCATCTTACATGTGGCTACGGCTCAAAAAGATGTTTTCCCCCAAATGGCACCAAACACCAAAGACGTCACCTTGGCGCCCATGCAAATGTTGGAGGCATACCCATGCCAGCTGGCGCTTCTAGGGGTTGATTCCTTGTCCATTCTTGTCAACCATGGTTCTTTTTTCAATAACCGGCTCTCTTTTTTTTTTGAAAGAAGGATGCCTGGAAAGAACAGAAATATAATGTTTTCTATTCAGTTGCCCAAAAAGGACCCAGAAATAAGAGTTAGCCCAGAAATTAAAGGATGCATGGAAGGTACCCCTAGAAATCCATTTGAGCCCAGGTCAAAACCTGGTACTCAATGCTGGGACCCTTTCGGGGTTTGAAAGAAATCTGAAGCCTCAAAAGTCCAACTCAAAATGGGAAAGCGAGGAAATGGTAGGGTTCCCCTACTAAAATAGACAGAAAAAAGTTGGTAGCCTTATTCTAACCTCTCAAATCTGGAGGACCTAGTGGAAGGTACTCCTAGAACGCTGCTGGGATTTGCCTTGGAGCTGTCGGAGCTGTTAGGCCACTGGCAGCCAGCCCGGCGCCTCAAGTCGACAGGTGGGAGGATGATTGGGAAGAAACTTGAGCTGAAGTCGAGCTCCTGGAGTCGCCTTCTGACCCGAAGAAAAGATGGTTGGTCAGCAACCCCTAAATAATGCTTGGTCATGGCCCTATTTTTTGATTATTTCGGGTCACGGTGGCTCCAGGTATGGCTCAAAATGAAAGCGCTGGTGCAATTTGGGAGTGCCATTTCGTGAGGCTAAAAGGAAGCCAATCATTCGCAGGGACCATTGCAATGCAACAGAAACTCGAACTTGTTTTTGTTTTTGGATTTCTGTTTTTAAAAGTTGGATGCCGGACTTTCAGAACCTTGCACGCAAGAGTGTTCCTTTCACGTTGATTCTTGGTGGTTCCCAGCCATCCCCAAACTTCGTGTTTGTTTGGTTTTTTCAGGTTTAGTGGGCTTCCGAATTTAACCCACTAAATAAGTTAAACTTGTAGCAGGGGATCCGAGGACAGCCCAGGATTGTCATGTTCTGATGCGTTCTTTCCAACCAGAACCTCTTTCGGTTGCCCTGTCGGCATCAGGTGTGTAGGGAGAAATCTCGGCGTTTCGCCAAGATCTTCTCGGCAAGTAACTTTGGGGTTGTCACATCACAAAGGGATGAGGCGTCCTTCCAGTGTTTGCAGAAACACCATGTTTCACTATGTATATATATATATACATGGGTCTGTTTTTTTTTACCGTGTCAATTCTTGAGTCTTCGTGGGAGGTGGGGCTTGGGCGAGCCATACCCCCGAATCATACCCCGAACCATACCCCCGAGCCATACCCCGAGTCATACCCCTTAAAAAACACAAAAAAAGAACATGTGGACCGATGCCAGGGGGTAGGGACTCCGAGGTAATACCTGGTTCACTTGTGGTTCCTGGATCTATTCTTGAGTCTGCGAGGCTTGCATGGTTGGGCTCTGATGTCATGGGGCCAAGTACAGTTGACATGTCCACACACACACTCACTGGTTACTCGTGGGGTGCCATTTTGGCTCAAATGGTGTTCCTTGACACTCGGTTACCCACCTCTGTCTCGGCTTGCTATTTTCAATGGAAAGTGCCAATGGGTGGAGTTATAGAGCAATCCTGCGGATGTCCTGGTACTAGAGTTGTTTGTAGCATCCGTGGTGCTGTGGCGGGGGGGTGCAGCTTGACGTAAGACTCTGGGACTTGCAGGGCGCTGTGGCGGGGGGTGCCGCTGCTGAGCTTGAAACTTGGAGCTTGCTTCCTGCAGTCTGTCCGACGCGGTGGAAACAGCTGTCTGTCCTGGGCCACTGTCGCAGTGAAACACAAGCTGTCTTTGTGCTCCTGGGGTACTCTTGGTGTCTTTCCGGTCGAAAACAAATGTCCACCGATTCATACCCCCGATTCATACCCGATTCATACCCCGATTCATACCCTTCTGCTGCCATTTGCAGCCAAGAGACTCTTGCGCTCTGGGCAGTACTAGCGAAGCTATGCCGCCCAAATCCTCAGAAGACACAAAACTCAAAGAGAAGCACTGAAGGAACCAGCTCGCGGCTCTTTTCGCAGAAGTTCGCCAGAAGGTGGGTTCGGAAGGCTTACTGCGATGTATCAAGCGCGACACGGTAGCCTCTGCGCAGCTGCCGTTTGAGGATGTCACGCTGTCTTGCCCTTACGCTGGTTCGTGACTGGTGCGGGTGGCGGGCCTGACTGGGGGCGCTTCCCCTTAAGCAAGGCTTGCTTGGGTCTGTGAGCACGCGGGTCGCTGGAACTCCAAGTGGAGGTGGCAATGACGTTCGCCCTGCGCCTTCCACCTAGCGCAGCAGCTTTCGCTAACCCACTCACGCAGAGTGGCAGCTGTCTAGTTCAGGCCACTCACAAGCGCCCCAGGCTGGCTTGTAGCAACTAAGCGGTCCAAATTCTCACGGCTATCCAGTTGCCAGCGCACGGGAGCTTTGCAGTGTCCAAAGCCACAAAGCAAGAGTTCAGAGGCGCGCGAGCCATACCCCGAATCATACCCCCGAGCCATACCCCGCACCATACCTGCGATTCATACCCCGTATACCAACCTCCCGGCACGGCCACGTCAAAAAAACACATACCCATATATATATATATATATGTACATATCTACATATATTAATATATGTATGCATGTATGTATACATATTTTTACTGGGTTGCCTTGGCGATCCGGTGGCTCGTGTCATTGACCGCACGCCTTCCTGGCTCAGTGCTGGGTGCTGTGACAGTGGGGCTCTCGGCGACGCTGCTGGGGCTGTGGGCCTTCTGCGATATTCTGCGATGGAGGCGCTGGGGGGGGTGGGGTTGTCACATAGTTTAAACTTACATTGTGCTTGTTGAACTCGCATTAGCTGTTTTTTTTTGGGGATTTAATGTTCATTTGCTTTTTGCGTCAACGGACCAATAGACATGGCAAAGTGAGCTGGCGATTCCACAAGAAGTTCCATTAGGCTCCATGTGTTTTGTTTTGAAGTTAACTCTTTGGCATGGACATTCAGCATACGAAGCCATATGGAGCCTAGCATGGATTGAAGAGTCAGACATGCCGAGGCGGTCTCGGGTTTCGACCGTTCGAGGGCTCCGAAGGCCGAAGCAACCAGCCTTGATGTCTTTCTGAGGAACACACGAGAAGGAGTTCACCAAAAGGTTCACCCAAGAACCACCAAGCTTCGCAGAGGTCCCCAAGAACCACCAAGCTTCACACAGCTCCTTCAGGCGGGTCACTTTTCAGACCTTTGCCACGCATTCAGGACGCCCGCGGCCTTAAAGACGCTGTAAAGGACGCTATAAACGAGGTGTCCAGCCTGTTGGCGCAGGCAGGCTCGTGTGCGGTGCGGTGTAGTGGTGTAGGCTGCGGGCCTTGGGTTCCTTCACGCAACTCATGGCCTGCCCGATCGGTAGCTGGAAAGCATGGTTACACCCGGTGGTCAAAATGGGGGGGGGCATAGGCCGTTTGAGGCATCACCGCATGGTTTTAGACATCCCCGGTTCCTTCCAAGGGAAGCTTCTTCAAATCCTTGCCTCTTAAAAACACAACTTTTCTCAACTTTTTGGGTAACATGGGCCATATGTCTGTAAAAGATTAACTTCCCCAGGGCTTGGAATTTTAAGGGGTAAGAATCTGAAGGGACTAAGGTCTGCTTGGGCACGAAGGGTCCCGGACCGTGGCATGGTATTGACAGGTTTCCTTCAGGAAAGGGTTGCTCATAGGATCCAACCGCCCCGTCCCTCTTACCTACTCCGCCAGTTTGCCCAATAGAAGGCATAATTGAAAAAGAAGAAGAACAAAAACAACATTTATGGGGTTGTTTAACCTCGCGAGGTGCATAATCTCGGTACGGCTGGCTTAATTGAAAGCCCAGCGATACCATCGAAGCCTCAAGTCCTGCCATGTGGCCGGAGTCATGGTTTGCTAGATGGGTCCACTTGACGTGTTCAACATTCTGTGACAGGGGAATCGGGGGCTTTTTTCATTGCCCAGTGCGTGTTTAGCGCTCTACACTTTCTTTTTGGCTCCCTCTCAAGGGGCGAGCGAAAGTCGGCCAGAACCTCTAGCTACACGGTATAGCCCACACACACAAGTCTTCATGTGGAAGGACCTCGCTGTCGGCAGCTGGAAGCAGTTGCTTCGAGGTTCCTTGTTACTGGTTTGGGAATTATTGTCCAGATTCGTTTTCCTTCGCGTCAACCACCAAAAGATCAAAGCGGGGTAAAAGTTTCTAGTGGGAACCACACTTGCTTGCACTCGCGCCCCGCCGCCCCGCCCCGCCCCGCCCCGCCCCCCCCGCCCATCGCCCTGCCCTGCCCCCGCCCGCCCTGCCCCCGCCCCGCCCCGCCCGCCCCGCCCCGCCCCCGCCCTCCCCGCTCCTCCCTCCCCCCCCTCCCTCCCTCCCTCTCCCCCTCCTCCCTCTCCCTCTCCCTCCTCCCTCTCCCTCTCCCTCTTCCTTCTCCTTCTCCCTCTCCCTTCTCCCTCTCCCTTCTCCCTTCTCCCTTCTCCCTTCTTCCTTCTCCCTTCTCCCTTCTCCCTTCTCCCTTCTCCCCTTTTTCTCTTCTCCCTCCTCTGCCCTCTCCCCTCTCCCCTCTCCCCTCTCCCCTCTCCATCCCCATCTGTCTCCTCTCTCCCCTCCCCTCTCTCCTCCTCTCCCTCCCTCTCTCCCTCTCTCTCCCTCTCCCCTCTCCCCCTCCCCTCTCCCTCTCCCCTCCCTCTCCCTCTCCTCTCCCTCCCCATCTCCCTTTCCCTCTCCCTTCTCCCCTCTCCCCATCTCCCTCTCCCTCTCCCTCTCCCTCCCCTCTCTCATCTCCCCATGTCCCCTCTCCCTCTCTCTCCCCTCTCCCCTCTGCCCTCTCCCTTCCTCCCCCTCTCCCCATCTCCCCTCTCCTCTCCCCTCCCCCTCTCTTCTCCCCTCTCCCCTCTCTCCCCTCTCCCCTCTGCCCTCTCCCCCTCTCCCCTCCTCCCCATCTCCCGTCTCCCCTCTCCCCTCCCCTCTCCCCTCCAAAATAGGTCCATGACCCCATTATTTAGAGTGTTGACCACCCATGTTTAAAGGGTCAGAAGGAGGCTCTAAGAAGTCCAACCGCGATCCGCGTTTCAGCCGCGTTAATAAACTTTCACCGAAGTATCCTGGGCTTCGGCGGCCCAGATGACATCCCATGTTTCTCCCCAGCCTCGGCCAAAAAGGAAAAGAAGAGCAGATGGTCGCAACCCGGGACCAAAATATCATGCGTTCATATGATCCACGGCTATTAGTTGCGGGACATCATCCGCGGTTCTTCTGATACTTCTCAGGCGGTGTCAAACGTTAGATGTTTCTTTTTGCAGATTTACGAGGATGTTTAACACCGAAGGGATGCCTCTTTCTTTTTTTTTGCGGGTTACCCTATTTGGAAAGACAGTCAATTACAGCTACCTGCGCATACCCCTTTTTCTATACCCATACTATTTTGTGCACATTGGACGTGTACACATAATTTACGTTTGATCTGATTTGCAAGTCATGATCATCACATAAAGTCACCACATCATGGTGATACATGTGACAGTCAAAGTGGATGAAAGGAACACTTTTACCAGGGTGAGCCTAGTTTTTCCTCTTCGGTGCCTCAGATCAGATCCATCCCTGCATGCGCCAGGAGCAAGAGAAGGAGGCGGCAACGAAAGACGGGATTTGGGTAAACAACATTGGTTCGATTTTGCTTAGTTGGTTTTGTTCAGTTCGGTTAAGCAGCTTGTTGACATTGGCTGGATTCAGTTGGGTTAGGCTTTGTTTAGGATTGGTTGCATGCGCTAGGTGAAAGAGAGGGCAAAAAAGAAAGACGACTGCGACAAGTCCAAGGAGATGTCATTGAAGCTGGCCAGGCGCGGAGGCGATTGGCGAGGAAGTCAGCAGGTCCTTCCAGCGATACATCGCGACCTTTGTTTTTCTTCTCTTTTTTTGAAATACTCAAAGGGGACCGTGTGCTTTTGGTTGTTTCTTTCTTTTCTCTTTTTGGAGGCCACTGGGCATTTGAGTCGACTCGAATTGGCTGTGGGTCAAAAATATGGTAACCCCAAAATGGCATCATGGCAACTGGAAACATGGACCAGAACCTGCGGGTTTTTGTTGGTGGTTTAATTTGGACCCATACCCAATTTGCAGGGGCTGTGAATTTGGTTGTATCGTTTTCTGGAGGGTAGGCTTTGGTGTCTTAATTCAAGGACATCACTAGGAAAACCATCCATGTTGGGAGTCGAAGCTTAGAAGACACACCTAGACTCGTGGAGACTCCACACACCCATTTGCCAAGGGCCCCCGCGTTTTTCTTCTCCCTGGCCGAGTGGTTTTTCTGACGTCCGAAAACCAGAATTGGCGCGCCAGGGCTGTGCAGCGCTTTCTGGGGCGAGAGGAAGACCTGCGAGAGCTGATTGGCGTTGAGGCGGGAAACATGAGATCAGCTGATGGCATACGCCCATACCGTGGATGCACGAAATCCATGCAACGCACCACTTTGAATTGTTCGTTGGTATTTACAGGGGAATCGAATCATTCTAGGGTTTCTTGGGTGGTGCGAAATGGATTTCGTCCATCCACAGTATGGGTGTGGCTCAAGATTCCACGGCTGCTACGCAGGTTTTAGTCTTCCCTTCCATTTGCTAGGGCTGCATTTTGCACCCTATGTTTGAGCCACACCTCAGGTGATATCCCCAACAGTACGCGGCTCTTTTTTTAGTGCTCGCACCGCCCCTCAGCCCTCGCAGAACCTCGTGGAACCCTGGTGGAACCCTGGTGGAACCTTACCTCAGGGCCGCTCCGGACCACCCCGGAGCCTATCTGGGCTGAGACCCCAAAGCTTTCAGCTGTTGGGGAAAAACACTACTGGATGGCTTTTAAGAACACCAACCACCCGGAGGGGTCCCTAATTTTTTCACACAAACCCATTTGGTGTTTTTTTTCCACAACCGCCTGCTTGAGGCTCGGGTGGTTTCTCGTCGTTTGTGATCAAATCGCCTTGAAAGAGTCGGAGGGTATGAGATCTGACACATCCAAGGAATTGTTGCTGAAATCTGCAGAAAATTTAAACAAAGGAACCCTCAGTGAGCTGGTTTAGCGGGAAAACCAACACTTAGAAGTAAATTGTTGAGGTGCCTAATCCTTCTTGAGGCGATTTGATCGCAAACGACGAGAAACCACCCGAGCCTCAAGCAGGCGGTTGTGGAAAACAACGGCACCAAATGGGTTTGTGTGAGAAAATTAGGGACCCCTCCGGGTGGTTGGTCTCCTTTTGGTTCTTAAAAGCCATCCAGTAGTTTTTTCCCCAACAGCTGAAAGCTTTGGGGTCTCAGCCCAGATAGGCTCCGGGGTGGTCCGGGGCGGCCCTGAGGTAAGGTTTCACCAGGGTTCCACCAGGGTTCAACAAGGTTCTGCAAGGGCTGCGGGATTGTGCGAGCACTAAAATGAGCACCGCGTGCTGTTGGGGATATCACCTGAGCTTTTTTTTTTGGGGGTGGGTCCCAAGTATCCCCTTGGATTGAAATTTTGTGCCCCAAAAATCGTGGTTTTCCTCAGCAAGCCACACTTGAGTGTGCTTGCAAACGGTAGGTTCAAATGGTTGCAGTCCTTTCTTTCTTCTTGACCTCAAATCCCTTTGACCTCAAAAGCTGAACGGGCCCTCGACATTTGAGGTAAGATCCGTTAGAACGAGAATCCTGAAGTGAAATCTTGCCCCGCTCGTTTTGCCAGTGTGCAATGGCCAATGTTGACCCCATATGAATCAACCAGCCTGTTTATGGTGCTTCCCCAACAAAAGCGGTCTGATTTCAACCACATTATACCCCATGGAAGAGCACCCCCCTCTTTTCATTAAGAGGTTGGTTGATAAAGAGGGGGTCAACATGCTCAAAGCCTTCCCGGCACGTTTTGGCTGACAAGCGTCGCACTCAGCCGTCTTTTCGTCACACGAAAAGCCGTTGCCCCAAGCGCCATTCATGACCCTTCAGAAATGGGTCCATGACCCCATATTTTTGGGTCATGACCTCATTTGTTTAAGGGTCTTGGAGACTCCCGGAATGGACAAACATGGCCCCTGTCGGTTTCACAGCTGGTCCCAATCCCCCGACAGGCATTTTGTCTGGGGGTACACATGCTTGACTGCTATTGGGTTGGATCTTTAGACTTTAACTTTTTGGGAAAATCAAGTTGGGTTTTCCTCTAAACCCCCAAACAAGTGTTTGCAAGGGGGGTCGTTGCAGCAACCAAGCATGGGCGTTCCCAGAGGGTCCAAGTACCTTCCAAGGAGGTACCTAGGCCCCTTTTGGGAGTTGTCATGGGGAATCGAGGTGAAGAGGCTGCTTGCGGAGGAAGAGGCAGAGCCGGCAGAGGATGCGGAGGAGCCCTTCGTAGTCAGCGGCTTGATGCGCAAGTCATGTGGCCAAGTTCTTAGCTGGTGCCTGGAGTCTCCTTGTGACCCCCCAAAAGAAATGGTTGGGCATTACCCAAAATCGTGGTTAACCATGGACCCATTTTTTTTAATTTCAGGGGTCATGAAGAGTCGAGGTACCAGTTTGAGTTTCTTTTTTTTTGGAGGCTGGAGCTCTGAACATTAGCTTCAAAAAGCATAAGCCTCGCTGAGTTCTCTGAGCTCCTGGGCTGGAAAAACATGTTGGAAGACAGGTTACATCCAACCAGACTTCGCTCCCCTTTACTTTTGTTTTTTCCGCTTGTTGTGGGTCCCCTTGTTTTCCACTCACCAGGCAAAACAGAGATGTTTGATTTCTTTTGCTGGGGTCGACTAATTCCAGCCTAGTTTACCGGTCAGATTTTCAATAAACCGTTCGAGGCTTTGTGTGGCCACTCCACTGGATCGGAAGGCTTAGGAGTTGCCAAAGCCTTCGGGTTTGAAGCCATGGCGGGCCAGAAATTGGCTCAGCCGTGCAAGGAAGGTGTAGAGGACTCTGCCATGTGTTGTGTGTCAAAAAGACGACTTGAAGCCATGGGCTCCCAGGGCCCGACTTCTCCAAGGAGGTGAGAGGCGCCGGACGTCGGGAGAGCTGGGTTTTGGGGCAAAAAAAAGCGGCGAGGGAGCGGTGATCGCTGCCACCCGGAGTCTCCTTCGGATCCGAAATGAAAATGGGACCGATTTGACCCCATTGTTGGTAATGACCAACCATTTTTTGAGGGTCCTGGAGACTCCAGGCATTCAGTCGCATTGCTCCCTCTGATCCAAAATACCCTGTTTGAGGGAAGCTGAAGACAGGGAAGGAAGTGCCTTTGTTGGATTGCGGGCGGGAATCCAATTTGGGTGTGCCTATTTTTGGTTTCAACATCAACCTTGGTGTTCCAAGAAGATCGACAAACCGTGTGCTTCTTGATTTAAACCCCACCCCATTTTGTTTTTGGGGGGGGCGGGGGGTCTCCCCGACTTTGACACATGCTGTGGATGGACGAAATCCGTTCGCACCAGATAGAAACCAGACTGTGGATGAACGAAATCCGGCACCACCCAAGAAACCCTACGTAGAATAATGATTCCCCCGTAAATACCGACGAACAATGGTTTCCCATGGTTTCAAAGTGGTGCAGGATTTCGTCCATCCACAGTAGGACACCCTCTTGTTGGTATTTGCAGGGAATCAGAAACAAAGGCTTTCTGAACGGTGCTGCGAAACGCCTGGATTTTGCGAAATCCACATTGCCAGCAGCCTTTAACTACTGCCCATCGTACGGGAGTTAGAGTCTTCCCTGAGTTTTCCACATCGTTTTCCCAATTATTTTTCCGGAGCTGTCCACATACCTGGAGTCTCCCTTTAAACATAGGTCCATGACCACATTATTTAGGGCAATGACCCCATGTTTTAAGGGTTGTGGAGACTCCAGCTAGTTTCCATCAGTTTTCCGGAGCTTTCCAAGTTTTCTGTTCCAACTTAGGTGCCTCATGTTGTTTCTCAGGTTCCGAACTCCCTTCGCCTCGGCCGCGCGTCTTTTTTTTTTTCTTTTCGGCGTGCGAGGCCTGCTGGGTGCGGGAGGTTTCGGGCGGGTGCAGCTGGTGGAAGGCGAGGCCTGGAAAGCGGCGCCCAAAGCCTTCCACGCGCCTCGGTGGGTCGGTTTGGGGGCAAGGGCTTGGCGCTTTCCTCGGAGATGCCATGCTTGTCGTTAGGACACATTTCTCTCATTTTTGCTTCTTGTGGTTTAGTGGGGAAATTCCCTTTTGACTGCCGAAAATCATTTTTTTGCTCCCCTTCCAACGTCAACCAAGGATGCGGGAGATGGAATTTTAGCAGAGGCTCCTGGCTTCGGCTTTCAATGGAAGACCCGACCCCTCCATTAGACACCCTGGGAGTCGGTGGTTGGGGGTCTCAAAACCAGGTTATTTGAAGGCCCTAAATCTAGCGGGAGCCTCTGGGCTGGTTACATGCAGGGGACTTAGCATTTAGCGGTTCAACTCCCAGACCTAAGCAGCACTGCGTGGTCGACACCGTTTGGAGATTCATGTCCACTTGGAGCATTCTTGTTAAATGTCATATCCAAGTTGGTACCCCTTTTCGTCACGGGAAATCACAAGAAAGACTTCACTATTTCTGAGGCACCCATTTGTCTTTGATCTAGCAGTAACTTACATTTTTTGACACGAAACACCAGGGGAAACGCGCGGTTGTTTTTCAAGAACGATGGTTGGCTGGTTCTGAGTAGGGAGTGAGTTGGAACCGTCCAGCTGCGCCAGCTGGTGCTTTTTTGGTGGGGATCTCGTTCAGGTTTCAACGAAAACCTTTCGAGTTGCCCCAAAGACTTTGTCCACCGTGCGCGTTCCCCAATGAAATTAACATACAGCCGAGCTCGGCATGTTTTTATCCAAGCCCAAAGTGGGACATCCAACTGTTTTGTTGTTGAGAAGGATCAGCTACTTCATTTCCAAAACCCCCTCAGATGTTTTTCTCGGAGAGCCAGCAAGAACATGGGCAGTGTTTTCTTCCTTTTTCGGGGGGCGGCAGGGGTGCATTACTTTGCTGAGGGCCTTAGGATTTGCTTGAGGAAACTCAGCTGTCATCTTGGGGGTGTCCGGTGCTTCCCATTCGTTTCCTGTCAGGTTGGCGATAGGTAGGGAATGACCGTTCCAGGTGTGAGGAATGAATGGACACCACAAGGGTTTGTAGTGGTCATTCCCTCATTCCCTGCTCAGAACCAGCACATTGCCAACCTTTCCTCCCACTAACGCATTTGTGGGAGGCTCTTCAACTGACCCTGGGTGCCATGTTAGCAGCAGGGTATTTCTCCAAAAGGACATCAAGGGTGCGTCCCTTCAAGTGTATTTTGGGGTCTCAACATAGCATAGGGTTGAAAATATACCAACATGGGACCAGCCATGTTGCACCTATTTGTGAAAGCGCAAATCGTTGCCCCCTCGGAAAGTGGTACCAGGTAGGCCACACTTTTCTCGTTGAGAAGCCAGCTGAAGGTCTGCCTTATTGGCTTCTGCTCTATTGAGTTGCCGTTGTCATTGTTGTTCTTGAGTCATCGAAGGGCATGCCCCACTTTTAAGGATAGTATGTATCTGGAGTCTCCATGATTCTTTAAAAATAAGTCCATGACCCCATTATTTAGGGTAATGACCCCATTTTTAGAGGGTCATGGAGACTCTAGGTATGTAATGGGTCGACCCCCAAGAAAAGCGGATGTCCTTTGGGTTTCCGACAAAAACGCACAGACCTCGACACCTCGAGTTGGCAGGCCCACCAAGAGTCTCCTTCTGACCCCTAGAAAAAGGGGTCATAACCCCTTAATTTTGGGTAATGACCCACCGTTTTTAAAGGGTCAGAGAGACTCCAGGTATGTGTGAAATTCGGGAGGGGCCCCCCAGAAAAGCGCTTGTCCTTTGGCTTTCCCACGAAAAAGCACACCTCAAGTCAGGCACAGGTCCCTTTTGGCGCTGAGGAGAAGAGCGGCTTCAAGGAGTCGCTGATGTGGGAGAAGCTGGTCCTCGGCGCTACCCTGCGCTGCCCCTGCCCGTCCCCAGGATGCTCCTTTTTTTTTTTTTGCTTTTTTGGTTGGTCCCTTGGTTCTTTCCACAAACCATATTTGTTTTTTTTCGTTTTTGGCTGTAGTCAACTTGCCTTCCAGCCAAGGTTCATCATGAAGTACCACGGCTGCTGCCACACGGCCAAGTACGTCTACTTCAAGCGTCTTGGTTACATCGAGCTTCGCAGTCCTCGGGGGCCGAAGTCTTGAAATCTCAAGGTACCTCGAGGCTCCTTCTGACCCATCTGCCTGGAGTCTCCATGACCCTTTAAAAATAAGTCCATGACCCCATTATTTAGGGTAATGACCCCATTTTTAGAGGGTCATGGAGACTCTAGGTGGGTGAATTAGAACGACCTCACGCGACCGAATTCACCCCAAATGATGGTTTATATGGGGAGTAGCCCCCCAACCACCCGATTTCAGGTTGGCGAAATATTATAACTCACCCAGACCAATACCTCGATTCCCCTGCAAACAACAACAATGGTTTGTCATGGTTTCAAAGTCGTGCGAAATGGATTTCGTCCATCCACAGAAGGTACCCACACCTAGAGTCTCCTTCTGACCCTTTAAAAATGGGGTCACTACCCTAAATAATGGTTTGTCATGGACCTATTTTTACTTCGCGTCATGGAGACTCCAGGTACTACGGATGGTTGCGCAACCCGAATTCGCAACGCACCAACGAAGTGGTATGCAAAACTACCTCCTGAATCAAGCTAGTTGATGTTTTTTTTTTTTTTTTTCACAGAAGTCGCCTTTGCTCAGACTACAGCTCAAAACTCTAATTGCTAAAATCGTGATTTGCCCCAGCAAGTGTCAATTAGGCTAAACTATTGTGTGGCAAACACGTAAACGCGTGTTGATTGTCCCTATTTGCGTCTTCCTCATCCAACTAGTACTTTATCTAGCTGCGCCTGCTCGAACCCAAGTACAAAATATGTTTTAGCTGGGACTTTGCAATGATTGCCAACACTGTCCTTGGTTTTGGCTTGCCGGCAATCTGCTTTCATACTGGTCGCAAACTCTAACACACGCTGAGTGTTTCCAGCAAAATCTAGGACGTCACTGAACCTATAGCAACAAAAAAACAAATGAGCTTTCCAAAGTTTGTGGTCCTAGAGTGCAAAATCTCGCAAGCGTCGCCCTTGCGTTTTCGATTGAGTTTTGGCCGGCGCACGAGACCTCACCCCATGTTTTCTGCTGCATTTATTTTCTCAGCCCAGGAATGAACTTTTAGCAAGCTCATGTATCTCGCAAGCGTCGCCCTTGCGTTTTCGTTTAAGTTTTGGCCGGCGCACGAGACCTCGCCCCATGTTTTCTGCTGCATTTCTTTTCTCAGCCCAGGAATGAACTTTTCACAAGCTCATGTATCTCGCAAGCGTCGCCCTTGCGTTTTCGTTTGAGTGTTGGCCGGCGCACGAGACCTCGCCCCATGTTTTCTGCTGCATTTATTTTCTCAGCCCAGGAATGAACTGTTCACAAGCTCATGTATCTCGCAAGCGTCGCCCTTGCGTTTTCGTTTGAGTTTTGGCCGGCGCACGAGACCTCGCCCCATGTTTTCTGCTGCATTTGTTTTCTCAGCCCAGGAATGAACTTTTCACAAGCTCATGTATCTCGCAAGCGTCGCCCCTGCGTTTTCGTTTGGGTTTTGGCCGGCGCACGAGACCTCGCCCCATGTTTTCTGCTGCATTTATTTTCTTCGCCCAGGAATGAACTGATCTGGGTATGGGTCAAAATTCCAGCACCTGGACTTGGGCCGCAGGTGACTTCGTCCATGTTTCCATTTACCCAGAGGCTCCTGTGGCTTTCAATGGAAGACCCGACCTCTCCATTAGGCACCCCGGAGGTGTTTGGAGGTCTCAAAACCTGGCTGTTTGAGGGCCCTAAATGAATCGGGAGCCTCTGGGTAGCGACCGGGCTTGCCCCATTTGGGGGTTACCCAATATTGACCACCACACCCATCTCCCCGAAAGGTCCGAGGCAGAACTCCCCGAAGTCATTGGACCGAGCCTGGACGCGGAGGTCATTTTTCGCAGCACCAAACTTCCATGTGGTGAAGAATACCTGGAGTCTCCATGACCCTTTAAAATTGGTCCATGACTCCATTTTTCCTTGCGCCTCAGGGGAGAAATAGTCCGGGGTGCCACAGGTCGTGTAGGTTTTGTCGACCTCAGCTCAATGGGAAACTTGGTGGTTTGAAGTGAGCCCTACCTGTGGATGGACGCTATCCTGCACCACTTGCAAACCAGTACGAACCATGATTTGTTGGTATTTACAGGGGAAGCATCAGAAACCAGGGTTTCTGAACGGTGGTGCGAAATTGATTTCGCAACTTTTTTACGGGAAAGCAAACATTTGTGGTGAGGAATGTCCCAATCCAGGTACCCAGGCATAAGAGAGTCTCATGGCCTTTGTGCCCAAACAGGTACCTGGAGTCTCCTAGTGACCCTTTAAAATTGGTCCATGACCAACCATTATTTCAGGGGAGACTGACCAACCATTTTGAAAGGGTTCCATGACCAACCATTTTGAAAGGGTCAGAGGGAGACTCTATTGTTTATGTTCCCCTGTTGGTTTTAAAGGGAATCGATGTCACTACTGGACATTTTTTTGTTTCCATGCGACTTGAGAAAATGGAGGCTAAGACACCCAACGGTGTCTGAGTCGACTCCCCAACACAAATACCAAGAAACGTTATGGTTTACAAACCCTGGTTGCAAAGAGATGCGAAATGGAGTTCGTATCCACAGTCCTCAGAGCCTGCTACCAGTCAAAGGCATGTCATTTGGACCACGTCTGACTTCTAATGTTCTGCCACTCAGGGTCAATTAACCCATAAGCTAGGGGTTCAAACTCTATTTTATCATTTTTCAATCCCTGAGACCTCTCGAAAAAAATCGAAACTTTGCACCCGATGGGTTGGTGGGATTCAAATATATATTTTTTGAACCTGCCTGGAGTCTCCTTCTGACCCTTTAAATAAAAATATGTCCATGACCAACCATGATTTAGGGTACTGACCAACCATTTTTTCAAGGCCGGTCAAACTCCAGGGAAACACCACGCCAAAATGAGAACCACGAGTCAGTCATGGCCGATCGTTCAGCCAGGGTGGAAGCGCTGCTGGGTGGTGAGCTCTACACCGTCTACAAAAAGGAAAACCTCTGGGGCAGCGAGGCACCTGCAATGGACTTAAAATGGGCAAAGGAACTTCTAGCCCAGAGGGTCCAAGTACCTCATGGATGGCTTTTGGGGAGTAAAAAGGGGTCTAAGTGCCTCCTCAGAAGGTACTTGGACCCTCTGGGTAGGGGTTGATGATGCCCCAATCTGTTCAACCATCGTTCTTTCCAAAAACTAGCTGTTTTCCCGGAGTTTTTGGTTTTCTAGAAAGAGGAGTTGGTGAAAGGTGGTGGGGTTTCCGTATTTATCCCGGGAACAGTTATTCACTTTGAGCGCGGGGTCTGAAAACGGACAGCCCAGCGTACTTTTGTTTGCGGGGAAGCTGAAAGGAGGCTCTTGGAGCTTTTGACGGAAAATAAAAGGACATAAAGCGACAGATGTCTAGACGCCAGCTGTTTTTTTTTGCCACGAGCAAGCGACCCGGATACTCGAGGTCGATACTGAGAGTAGGGATGGTGATCTCGGTCTTCAAAAGCGAAGATTTGTGGACGCACAGTTGGTTGAGCATGTCACTGAAAACCGGCCACATTGCACGAAGGTTTCTTTCCTGGGGCAGGCGGGTGGTGCAAGGGTGCGTTGGACATGCTGGAGGAGGGCTTGACTAGAGTAGTTGAGCACTGCGCAGTGGGGGCCATAGAACGTATGGAACGTGGTCTTGCCTGCTGTGGTAAAGTGCTTTGGACGTGTGTGTTGTCCACTGAAAATGGACCCCCGCCTAGAGGCACCCACAGGGCTGGTAGGTTGTCATTGTGCCAGGCTTAGGGCGTGAGCTGCATATGCCGAGCACAACTGTCAGCAATGGCAAAGCGGCAAAGGTTGTGAAGTAACATGTTTTACCAGACCTGAAACCAGGGGCATTTAGTGTCCATTGGTCCCACTAGACTTGTGTAGTCATACAAACAGGGGTCCTTGTTGACACACAAACAAAAAAGCAAACACGCACAGCGAGCGAAAACCAGAACGCTTGGAGTACCCCGGAGAATCTCCCAGAAATGACACTGGACGTCCTTTCCCAGAAGGTCCAAGTACTTCATGAGGATGGCTTTTGGGGGGTAAAAGGAAGGTACGAAGGGACCCTCTGGGTTTGTATAGGAATGCGGCCATTTTGGGGGCATGGCCTGAAATGCGGCGGACATCTGCGATTGGGTTCAAGGGGAAACCACAAGCTGACACTGTCAGCGACCGCATTTTTTGGTGAGCCTTACGGAAAACCCACTGTCACAAGGTCACCAGCGACTGCAAAGTGTGCTCGCATTGGATGTGCTGGGCTGCCTCACTTCTGTACCTAGAGTCTCCATGACCCTCTAAAAATGGGGTCATTACCCTATATAATGGGGTCATGGATCTATTTTTAAAGGGTCATGGAGACTCCAGGTAGGGGCGATCGATTCGGTACGTCAGGTAAGCGGGTAGTAACCGTGGTGAGGTTTTTCCACAAAAGCCATGGTGATACGTCTCCCTTCAGTGGGCTCCAAAAAGAAACAGGAGGGGTTACGCGGGTTTTGGTCCAGGTTTCCACTTACCAGGGTTCCATGTTGGTTCGGGTTTTGTGAGCCACAGCCAAATGGAGAATGGTTGGATCTTTTTTTCGGAACCCTGTTAGCAACAAAAAATGTGAAATTCAAGCACAGCCATTTGAAACATGGCTTTTTCAACACCAAATTAATGGGGAATCACCATTTACAAGGCAATGTTCAGGTGTATAATGTAAGCATCCCTGTACTAACCGCTTACCAAGTATACTCTGCCCCTTTAAGCTAATTTCGCCTTGCAACTCTTGTTGTGGTTCAGGTCGGAACCTGGCCCAATTGGGAGCTCTGGAAATACCATGCCGGAAGCAGGTGGCGAGGTTCTATCCGCGAGTGATTGCCGGCTTTGGGGGTCTGATCCGTGATCCCTGATGAAGACCCCTCACTTTCGGGCTCCGAGTTCAACTCAGGCGGTTGAATCCTGCTGCTTCCCAACCAAAACGTTGGATTCTGCATTGGGCCCCATTGGTTGTCGGTACGCGTTACCTTTGGGGGAACCACAACGGGGGATTCTGCATTGGGCCCCATTGGTTGTCGGTAGATGCGTTACCTTTGGGGTGGGTGTGCGGAAATCCATGGAATCCAAAGGAGAACAACCCCATGGAATCCAAAGGCTCAAGTGACTTTCGTGTTTCAACTGACCCTTCGGAACCCCATGTGAGTCACTTGCTCAAAACCGAAACTCGGGTAGATGAAGGTTAGTAAGGAACGATCGTCCCACCTGGAGTCTCCTTCTGACCCGAATGAAAAATGGTTGGTCATTACCCTAAATAATGGGGTCATGGACCTATTTTTATTTCGGGTCATGGAGACTCCAGGCAGTCACAAATAGCATGGTTCTGGGTCGACCATTTTAATGCCAGGTTTTGATTGTCACCCATGTCCCCATGTCCCCATGTCCCCATGTCCCCGATTTCAGGCCCACGCGCGGTATTTCCTCGCCTGCACACTGACCGCGCTGGAGCACCTACACTCGCTGCGGGTGATGCTGAGGAGCTTGAAGCTTGAGGACACCAGGGGTCAAGTGGAACTCAAAAAGTTGCCCAGCGCCCCTTTTTCATACTGTGGATGGACGAAATCTGTTCGCACCACTTTGAAACCATGGGAAACCATTGTTTGTTGGTATTTACAGGGGAATCATCATTCTAGGGTTTCTTGGGTGGTGCAGGATTTTCTCCATCCACAGTAGGTCCTAGAGTCTCCGTCTGACCCTTTAAAAAGAGATGGGGTCATGACCAACCATTATTTGGGGAAATGACCAGCCATTTTTGAAGGGTCAGAAGGAGACTCTAGGGTGTCCTTTTTGCTTGCTTTGCTTAAAAAATAGAGACGGCCCTGGTTTGGGGGAAGGGTTCTCCTACGGTGGATGGAAGAAATCTTGCATCACTTTTGTAACAGGTCGATGCCATCTTGTTACGACTTGCCCCGCGCCCCCTACTTAGCATTGGTGCTCAGTTTGATCAAGTTGGTTTGGGTCACGCAAGATTTAGGCCTTTGACAACCTATGAGCGGTTTTGCTCGTCGCAACTCAATATTAAGTAGGGGGCGCGGGGTGGCAAACATAGTCTTAAAAACTGATGCAATATTTCTTCCATCAACAGTAGGTCCCCCAGTAGTGCCCTTTCTCACCCCTGTTTTGGTTGGGAGGGTTCCCCTACTAAAATAGACTACAGCAAAAAGGGTACCCTTATTCTTTCCTCTCGACTGGAGGACCTAGCTGTGAAACTCAAACGGATTCAATTGGATTAATTTTCACCAATCGATGCATGTTGGCAATGCAATTGGTCCTCCCAACATGGTTGAAGGTTTATGTTCCGGACCTTACATTCCCATGTGTATACTCCCATTTTGTCGAACCCCCCCTACGACATGATGTTTGGCTTTACCACCCCTACTGTGGCTAAAATCCATTTCGCGCCAATGATTTGATTCCCCAAGGTAAACAGTTCCAACCTTGGTTTCATGAACCGTGGCGCGCGAAGGCGAAGCGAAGCAACCAGGCACTATGTATGGGCGTGTGTTCGTTTTTGTTCCTGAGGGAATGGGACCCTCGAAATGGTGGGCCTCCTTTTGGTTTCCCTGAAAGCCTCCAAACACCAACCCCCTCCGCTCCCCCCGCCCAACCAGGTAACCGCACTTGTCAAACTTCCAACTTCAACTATGGGCTGTTGCCCCAAAACTGTTGCTGGTGAGGTATTTGCAGGGGAAGCATCAGAAACCCGGGTTTCTTTGGTGGTGCGAAATGGATTTCGCAACCATCCACAGTAGGTGAGTTCCTTTTTTGTGGGGCCCCTCTTCGTGTCTTCGGGTCCATCCCTGAAAGGGGCCATGGATTCGATTCGGCCATCCGGGTCCAGGATTGCGTGCTCAGCGCCACGGGCGTTCTGAAGTTGGTGGATTTCGGGCTCTCCAAGTTCATCGTGCCTTGGCTCAAGTCCCGTGCGCAAAGGAGCGATCGGGCATGTAAGTGGTATGTAACCATGGTTATACCACTGAACGGAGACTTACAACCATGGCTTTGGTGGGTGAAAGCCATGGTTACTAAGTTACTAACCACTTACCTCACGCGCCTGCCCCTTTAAGTGGTTTCCCGCCTCTCGTGCTTTCCCTGGCTCAAGTCCCCTTGGCTCAATCAGCCGAAGGCGGCCGTCAGGTGGCCCTCTCTCCCAGCCCGCAGTCTCTACTTGGATCTTCGATATATATTTTTGCCAAGTGCGATGATCGCCAATTCGGGTGTTGCACCCCCGAGCAAGGTTAACCCTGATCGGTGGCATCTAAAGTGGGTGAGAACCTAGGCAACCAACAACTTCCTAACTTGGCCGAACACCCAAGCTGCACCGAAAGACGAGGGTCAAAAGATGAGGATGCCACTTCAATGCTCGGCCGGGATTTAGGGGAAATTGGGTTGCGCCGGTTTTTTTGTGAGGGTATATCTTGGGTAATTTCCCAATATTACTACCACTAGGTACCTGGCCCTTAAAAAGTTGCGTCATTACCCCAACAAATGGGGCCATGGACCCATTTTTAAAGGGTCATGGAGAGTCTAGGTCCCTTTTTTTTGACCCATACCCCTGGCTTCCTTTTCTTCACTGGCAGCCTGGCATGGCTTTAGTTTTGTTTGGTTCTGCGCATGCATGGTACCGTGTTTTTTGCCATACCAAGTTGGTTGGACCGTTTTATACTACCGTTGGGGTCAAAACACGATGCCACTTTAATGGATCCTGGTTGTTGTAGGGGAGTTTGGTGCCGGTTTTTGGCATAACGGTAAGTGGAAGCCAACGGGAGTTTCGCAAAGAAGCCGGTGTGTCAGAAAAGGGACTCAGAGCCCCCAAATGGTATAGCTTCCCTTATTTTTTTTGAGGGTGAAAAGAGGATTAGGCAAAAGCTCTAGGGGTACCTAAACCATTCTTTCCTGGGATCCTTCTTTCTAAACCTCCGGAAACCCGATCGGGAAAACGGATCCGGTTCTTGGAAAGAACGATGGTTGAAAAGAATGGGCAAGGAATCAACCCCTAGAAAAGCTCTTGATTGGCCCTAGGGCTAGATGAATCGGGGGGCCCAGGCCCCCAGAAGCCCTCTGGAACAGGAGAGTTGCTGCGCAGGTTTTGTCCCGGCCTTGGAAGCCCCAACGCTACGAACGCTACGGCACCCAGGAAAGGGGAAAGCTGCTCCGCGCCATTTTGGGAGCTCAGATATTTTTGCGGAAATGCTCGGCAGACGCCTCAGCTTATACCTGGAGTCTTCATGACCCGAATGACAAATAGGTCCATGACCCCATGATTTAGGGTAATGGCCAACCATTTTCAAAGGGTCATGGAGACTCTAGGTATATATATATATATATCCTCGAGTTGATACCTGTTTGCGCTTGCAATCGTTGTGACCAAGAGCCATCACGGCACAAAGGACCTGAGACACTCAACGCTTGGGTACCTGGATTGGGACATTCCTAAGCACTAAGGTTTGCTTTCCCTTAAACATCTCACTTCATACTGTGGATGGTTGCGAAATCCATGCAACGCACCACCAAAGAAAACCCTGGTTCCTTGATGCTTCCCCTGTAAATAACGACAAAGACTTGGTGGCTCCCAGCCATCCCTTAGCCTTTTTTTTGCCAACTAATGGGTTCTCCATTAAACCACAAAAAAAAAAAACCTTTAGCAGGAGAGCAGAAAGCAACCGAGAACAAAGAATGGTTTGTCCTGGTTTGCAAGTGGTGCAAAAAAGATTGTGTCCATCCACAGGACGGGCTCACCTCAACCACCAAGTTTCCCATTTTGCATTTGGAACCGAACGACTCGGAAAAATGCGTGGGCCAGTTTGCATGCGGATTGCTGTCTTAAAAACCCTTATGCTCAAGCACATTTCTTAAATATAAGCCAGAACCCTCATGTATGCAATTACCCAAGCTGAGGTCGACAAAACCTTCACGACCTGCGGCACTCCGGACTATTTCTCCCCTGAGGCGCGGACAATACAGACGACTCAAGGGTTCGGACGGACTTTGAAGGAAGCATAGGCGTGTGTGCGTGGGTGGTTATTGAACATGGACAAAAGGAAGCCGGTTTACCCCCCAAATATTGAGTCTCACGGGGTAGAGTGACATGATACCCAAACTCTGAGCCCTGTCTTTTCACCAGGGTTTGTCATGTGAAAGAAGGCATTTGTGACTGACTGGAACATGGCCTGCCTTCGCCTGCCTGAGTACAGGTCCACTCATACTGTGGATGGAAGAAATCCATTTCGCACCACCTGAGAACCCTACAACGATGATCCCCCTGTAAATACCAACGAACAATGGTTTCCCATATTTTCAACTTGGTGCGAACAGATTTCGTCCATCCACAGTAGGGCACCCGTTTTTCTTTTCAGGAGCCGCCCTGACAGATGGAGAGTGCCAGCAGGCGCTTTGCCCATGTTTTTCGTTCTTCTGGAAATTGCATCACCTGCCACATTGACGAATCGTATGTGAATGTGCGTACCTAGACTCTCCATGACCCCTTAAAAATTGGTCTATGACCCCATGTGTTGGGGTATGGGGGCAAAAATGTCTTTGAGCGGCCCTTTTGCCATGCGCATCTTTGTGAGGTCATCTCTGCTACAGGGCACTCCTTTCCAGTGGACTGGCGCCTCGGGCTGCATTTCGCGGTGAAAGTCTGGGTGCTGCTTCGTGACGCGTGAGCTCTTATTCCCAGATGCTCATGGACCCTCCTAGTCCTACTGTGGATGGACGAAATCCTGCACCACCTAAGAAACCCTGGAATGATGATTCCCCTGTAAATACCAACAAACAATGGTTTCAACCATGGTTTCAAAATGCAGGATTTTGCCCATCCACAGTAGGGAGGGTCCGACCCCTCGGGACAGCCCAAAAACAGGCGGGCAGTAGTCGTGAGCCTTTGGGTTTAGAGCAAATACCAGAGACACATCAGGGGATGGGGGTAGTTTGCCCCGTTTTTTTGATTTACGGGCCTATGAGAAAATGTAGCTCGTTTTCAGGTAACCCTGCGCTGGATTGAGTTGGTGTGTTGGATCTGGATTTGTGATTTGTGTTTGGCTTTTTGTAGGGTTTTAAATGGAAACTCCAGAAAAAAGGGAACAACAAGAAAAAACAAAACACAAATCCACCGATTCGGCTCCAAACAAATTAGAGGACATTTCGCAGATTTCACACCCAACTGATAGAGGCCGTTTTTTTTTTTGGCCTGCGAGTTGCTACAAATTCGTACTGAGCTTTTGTGGGAAGCCCTAAATGGAGATTCGCTTTGGTTCCAGGTTGGACTTACAACCATTGCTTTGGTGGGTGGGTTACTAGCCATGTATCTAACTTAAAAGCCATGAAGGAACGGACAGATTCGGTTGAAGGGTGCCAGCTCCTTTCTTACTTCAGCTTGGGCAATTGGAGTTTACCCAGGCGTCCAAGGTCTTTGGCCCTTGGTCTTGGGACATGCAACGGGAGGAGAACACTTCTCAGGGGTCGCAAACACAGCGAAACATTTGGGCATGCGAGCTCACCTGATGCTAGAGCAGGTCATGAAGCTCGCTTACCTGCAAATTCCTTGTTTCACAGTTTGGCAAAGTGTCCTTTTTGGAGGCTACCCTTTTTGGACGCATTGGCTCTTCAATGGTTTGGTGTGGAGATCTGAACCCCAATCCCTGAGGGTAAACGGGACACCGTCCCCGTTTCACCAAAAAAAGGCCGCCATGTCAAGCCAGCCATTAAGGAGAAGCTGAAGTGCTGATGTTCGAAATCCAAATTCTCGCGCCGCAATGCCAGCACAGGTTTTGGTTTCATTCCCATGGGGAGACTCGCGGCACCATCCACATTGGGGGAAAAGGGGTGGCAATTTGGCTTTTGTAGAGGGTAAATGAGAACCCCCCTCATTTCACTAGCATTCACCACCGAACCGCCAAGTCAAACGAGAACCTAGAGTCTCCATGACCCTTTAAACATGGTTGGTCATTACCCAAAATCATGGGGTCATGGACCCATTTTTTATTCGGGTCAGAAGGAGACTCTAGGAAGCAGCTGAAAATGGGGGGAGCCGCCCCCCTCCATTTCACCGCCAATTCTCCAGCCACGGGTTTCGGGTTTTGGGGAGCACGGGATCGGAACACCCAGAGGTGGTGTGCGGGGGTGATGCTCTTCGAGCTGCTGGCTGAAACCGCGCCCTTCTCCTCCGAGACGCCCATGCAAATCTACAGCAAGGCACGCGAGCCGCGTTCCGCTGCCTTCCGCCTTCCGCCGCCTTCCATTTGCTGACATGAATCTGGGGAGGATAGCTATATATCTTATCTAGAATCTAGGTATAAATCTGCGGAGAGTCTCAAATAAATAGCAAACATATTTATTAGTTTCCCGTGTTGGTTTCAATCGGAATCGATTTCACCACTGGATTTTTGTTTTGTAGACAATGTAATTACTTAAAAGGGGCGATGGATTCGGTGTGTCAGGGAAGTGGTTGGCTGACCACTTACGAAGTACCCTGCCCCTTTCAGTAGGGCGTCTCCCCCCCCCCGCGAACTTCGACCCCCCCTCCCCTTCTTCTCATCGACAAGGTTTGGACAAGCTTCCCCAAAGCTGGGGGTTTTTTGGAGGACCAATGAATCTGCTTCGGTCCTCGTCCTTTCTGACCCCTTCCCAGCCAATTGAACTGGAAACCTGGGGAACCTCTTCGGTTCTTGCCTTCTTGGGTCCTGGGCAATAGAACTTTAGATGTTTAACTACTTTTTGTTTTGAGCTCTTAAATGGGCCCTGATGAATCGTTTCGTTTTCTGTTGATGATGAGGAGGCCCTCCAATGCGGGTCGGTCCCCTTGTGACATCGAATCCCTTGTGATTCTCAACAACGGTTGCCAACACAAACACATTTTTCTATGAGTAACTTCCCCATTCTTCACCCAGGGATCCGAATCTTTCTAGAAAGCCCCCCAAAAGCCAGGGGAAATGGCGATCGGCTTTTGAAAAGAAGGATGGCTGAACAGAATGGGGATCAACCCCTAGAATAATCCAAGACAAGCCACTACCGAGGGGAATCCTTGCGGGTAAGGATTCTCTTTGAGCAGCCCAAACAAATTGCTCTCACCACATCCAGCTGCTTCTTGGGGAAGCGCATTCGTGGGGAAAACGTGAGGGCTTCACTCGTGGCGTAGTATTGGGTTTAAGCACAGACTAAGCAAATGCCACGCAGAAAGGAAGGCCACTTTGCTGGCAGCTTTTGTTTTTTGCTTGGGGGCTGCTGGGGGGGTACCTTTACACGGGGGTTTGGGGAGGCCCAAAAAATGACTAGGTAGTGTTTGTTGGGCAAGCCTTGTTGGCCCTTTACTTGCGCATTGGCAAGAACTGGGAGGGGAAATGGGAAACCCATAAAATCGCGTGGTTTAGGTGGCCATGGGTCAAAATCCCGTATTTTCCGTGAACATCCCAATCCCCACTAAAATATGTTCTAAAATGGGTGGTGCACCGGGACCCCCCAAAATGGGATTCCATTCGCTTTTACCCACAGCCTGATGAGTATGCATAGGTGTCCTTTTCGGTTGTTTTGCTAAAAAATAGATGGCCCTGGTTTACCTGGTGGTTGAATCATCTACCAGGGCCATCTATTTCCCCTAAAAGGACACCTATGTGAGTACGGGAACCCTGATTTTTTTTGATTTGGGTTCCCGGACCCAGCAAGGAAGGGCTTAGGGCTGGGATACGCATTGCGATTTGGGCAAGTTCAACTTGGCATGACTTCCAACGGCTTTCTGGGGGACCCTGGAACATTTCATGTGTAAGGGTCGAAGCTCCTAGTCCCTGGTTCATTTTGGGCGGAACTGCCTGTACTTCAGGCAGAGTTTGGGCTGACCCAATTTCTTCAGGTCCTGGGGGGCATCCAGAGGGCTGACTTCAGCCCAGTTGGCGAAGAGGCGAAGGATCTGATTTGTGCCTCGGATCTGCCCGCAAGGACTGCTGACCTCCATTTTCCAGCGGGTCCCTTGGTACCTTCTAAGGAGGTACCCATCCTCATGAGGTTCCAAGGGACCCTCTGGGTTTGGGTAAGAATATGTGTTATTGGTTTTAAAGGGAATCCATTACGACTAGAAATATGTTGTTGTTCTGTTTCCGGGGGATGTAAGCAAGGAGGTAGATGGACGAAATCCGAGACCGAGACCGCACCAAGTGAAACCAGGGTTGAGATCAACTTTGTTGGTATTTAGAGACGAATTGAATCGTTCCAGGGTGTCACAATATCAGTATCACATTCCAGGGTGTCGTCCATCCACAGTAGCACATTCAATCACCACTCCCCGCCCCTTTCCGATAAAGCAAATGTCATACTGGGCCTAGATGGCGACCCCTCGTGTACATCTAGAACACCCATACTGACGTATGCAGCGCCCTTGTGGAAGACTTCGTGTTCAATGCCTGTTGCAAGACCCTTTTCGGCTGCATGCATTACTCACCCCATGAGTTCCTGGACATTCTACTTTTTGGGATTAAACAGGTTGGTTACTTTGTTTGGCTAATCCACTCAGCAATGTTGACCCCATATTTTTAACCCCAGTTTATTAATAGGGGGTGGGCCCTCCAAAAGTGATGGTTCCCCACCAGGGAAACGCACCCTCTATTAATTGACTACTTGATTTTTTCGTCCGGGATCAACATTATTTTGTTTGGCCAATCCACTCAATAAGTGAGATCTGCCCGAGAGAGCCACATTAGGCTCGGCTGAAAGCGCGTTCTACCCGGGTAGTGGGTGCCAGGCGTCTCACAAACTCGCCCATGGCCTTTATGGCACCCTATTGTGGATGGACGAAATCCATTTCGCAACAACCCAAGAAACCCTAGAATGATTCGATTCCCCTGCAAATACCAACAATGGTTTTCATGGTTTCAAAGTGGTGCAGGATTTCGTCCATCCACAGTGGGTGCTGTCCAAAAGGCTTCATTTCTGGGTTTTCCATGGAACTGTTTAGCGTGTCCAGTTTGAAGTGCCCTCAGTTGAAGGCGGATAGGTTCAAACAACTCACTTCCTGCGGCCTGCGTTCTGGGGGTTTCGGCAAAAAGTGGCTACAGTCCATTCTGGTGGTGGGAAATCTAAAGTTCTAGGACTTTGTGCGGCCAATCCACTCGATCGGAAGTGAGACGACCATGAAGGGTACGTTTAACCTGTTGCTGCTCGTTTCCCTTTTAAAAGCCTGGGACCAAAGCCTGGGTGCACTCCCGCAGCAAGGTCACGGCAAGGCACTCACGGCAAGCGAGTTCTTGATGCTTTTTGGATCTGGACGCTTTGAGTGGCAAACAAAGACTTTGGACTTGTTTAGGCCACTCAGGAAGTGAGGGCACGTGGGTCCAGGAACCGTCCAAAAAGTGTGGGGAACCGTAACAAAGAGTGTGAGGAACCATCAAACAAGCGTGAGGAACCATCAAACAAGCGTGAGGAACCGTCAAACAAGCGTGAGGAACCGTCGTTTCGGTTCCTGTGTTCCATGTTTGGGGAATCTTCCATTTTCTGAACCCAGAGGCTCCTGGGGCTTTCAATGGATTACCCGACCCCTCCATTAGACACCCCGGAGGTGGTTGGGGGTCTCAAAACCAGGTGATTTGAAGGCCCTAAATCAATCGGGAGCCTCTGGGAAATGAATATGTGTTATTTTCTCCCTTTTGGTTCGGGCATTTCTACAATAATATTTGCAATGTTAATCCTTCATAATTGCCCGGCGTATCGCCTCTTCTCTGAGACTCGGGGACTAACGACTGGCGACAGCGGTGAGACAGGAAGTGAGGCCCCATCTACAGTATCACTCTTCTCTCCTCTCTTTTCCTCACCCAGAAGCTCCCGATTGATTTAGGGCCTTCAAACAGCCAGGTTTTGATACCCCCAACCACCTCCGGGGTGTCTAATGGAGGGGTCGGGTCTTCCATTGAAAGCCCCAGGAGCCTTTGGGCACCATCATTCACTCCGTTCCTTTGCCTCGTCCCTTTGTCTCGTCTCTTAACTCACGGACGAGGAACGAGGATGTGGGGCAGGATTATGAGTTAGTGCCCGCCCATTTGTCCCTTCTATCCTCACGCGACCCATTATCTCTTTCTGTCGCGTGTCCGTTCCCTTTCATTCAATGCCTTTCCTGTCAGGCATTGGGGAGTGGATGAGTGGAGGAACGGAGTGAGTGAACAGGAAGGACAGGGATGAGACACTCCAGACGTAGCAAAGTGGAGGATGAAAGGTGGCTCACTCCCGATCCCTTCGGTCTAATAAAAACCCTGAATCCTAAGCTCGCGGATTAGTAGCGAGCGCAAGGGAAAGGTATGGGATGAAAAAAACGGATACGAACGAAAAGATGCCAGGAAAAAGTGAAGTGGCATAGCGAATCATCTCCTTTCTCCATTCTGTCTTTTCTCTTTTATTTGCTGGCCATGGATGAGGCGGGAGGTGACCGACGGATGAAGACAGAGACCAGCCCCTGCCTGTCTCGTCCATTCCTTTCCTGTTTCCTTGTAAAGGGAATCTATCACTGGACATATTTTCCCATTTTTTCCCAGGGGACTTAATGTTGACCCCGGATTAATACACCCCGGTTTATTAATATGGGGGTGTCCCATATTTTCTTAACCGGGGTTTCTTAATCCGGGGTCAACATTCGGCAAATGGAGGGTAGAAAGGGGTCCAAGTACTTCATGAGGATGGCTTAAAAGGGGGGTACAAAGGGGTCGTGCAGTATCCCCTTAGAAGGTACCAAGGGACCCTATGGGGAGGGTCTGCTACGCGCAAGTCGACTCAGTGCACCGCTCTTTTCGTCGCTCGGCGCTCTGCGGGGATCGCCGCGAGACGCCAGGTGGCCTGTGCGCGCAGCAGCCGGAGGAGCGCTTGCCGGAGAAGGAAGGCTTCGACGCGGTGCGGCGGCATGGCTTCTTCAAGGGTCTGGATTGGCAAGGCGCGTCGGCGACCCGAGAGACCCCTTCTGTTTAAGATGAAATGAAGATACATATATGCTTTTGTGTTGTGGCTGTTTTTGTTGCAGTAGTTTTTTTTTCCAAAGCCCGGGAAACAAGCTTCTTTTTTTTTTGCTGAAATGAACAAATCTAGCCTAGCTGTCAGTTTTGCTGTTTTGTTGATTATTTCTACTTTTTGGAGAACACAAATAAGAAGACACACATCCTGGAGGTTTGAAAGGGAATCGACCCGAGAAACCCATTCTTTCAGCTGAAATGCATAAATATGTGTTTGTTCTGTTGCTGTGTTGGTTTTACAAGTGTGTTGTTTTTTTTCCGAAAAGACAACAGACATCTTGGAGGTTGGAAGGGAATCGATTTCACTGCTGGAAACTATTTGGGTAGCGTTGTTTTTGCTCCTCCATCACATGTAAAGGTACGCAAAGGAATATTTGATATTCTTGGAAATTGGCGCCGTGCCACAGTCGCGGAAGCCCGCGGAAGCTTTGCGGAAGGTCTTTTTTTCTGCGGAAGCTCGCGGAAGGGTTTGCGGAGTATGTTTGTTTGTGCTGGTAGCGCAGCTTCAAAGGAACAAGCAAATGACAGAGGAGCCAACGAGCCAGGTTTGTTTTCAGTGGATTGGGTGCAAACTCTGGTCTTAGAAGTTGTGACGCAAGGTGAGGCTGTCCGGGGAGTTCTAGGAAGTGTTCTGTCCTTCTTACAAGAAGCTTTCAGTTCAGCTCGCGCGTGCGCGTAGGCGTGCGCGTAGGGAGAGGTGTGCGCGCGCGTTGCGGGCAATCGCGGCGAACCCAAGTAGCAGAATCCCAAACGCGGCTTTTCGCGGAAGGGCCGTGGAAGCTTGGCGGAAGGCCCGCGGCAGCGGCGCCAGACCTTTCCCACCAGTTCGTAGGCCGCCAACTTCCACGCTCGACAGCAAGGGAGCAAGCAAGTAAGCAGCTAAACGCGCGAGCAGCAGGCTCGCAAACTATGCCAAAACTGTGATCGCGGAAGTGAAATGCGTCTTAATGTTGTAAATTCATGTTGGCGGAAGCTCGCAGAAGTAATTGTTCTTTCAAAACGCTTCGCGGAAGGTACCCCTGTAGCCCGCGGAAGCGCCGCGGAAGGGTCGGCGGAAGGTTGAATAATTTCATTCGAACTAGAAGGGAATAATGTTACAACTTGATTAATAAAGCCCCCCCCCTGAACAATGGAGGCGCCAGAAAAATGTAGACTCACTTTTGGGACGTCCAAACAATGGAGGATTTTAGGGCCCAATTCTACTTTAGTATTGCAGCCACTTCCTTTTTGCAATTCTATTTTTGTATTGCAACCACTTCTTCCTGAGCATACTTGTTGGAATACTACTTTAGTATTGCAACCACTTCTTCCTGAGCATACTTTTTGGAATACTAATTACGTTAGTAGCCATTCAAAGGGTGTGCCTTTCAGCCAGGGAAGGCTTGAGCTAGAAAGAAACCAATTGAAAGGGGAATGCTTTTAAGCAAGTGGGCCGCCAATTGAAAGGGGAATGCGTTTGAGTAAAGCAACTGACAGTTTGTTTTCTGGAGGGGGCTGGGGGCTTGCAACTAATGTGGTCCCCCTAAAGAATGCCATTGTTGTGGTTCAGTGGAGTCTGTGAGGGGTACCCTTGTCCTGTTTCGTTTTTTGTTTTTTTCATTTTCTAAATATGGTTTACTAAAGAATTTGCAGTTTCAGGGCAGGGGATGATTTTCAAATTCCAGAGGTTTCAGCTGGCTTTGGGTTTTTTCTGTTTGAGCAAACATTAAAGGGGAATGCTTTTAAGCAAGTGGGCCAGGGGGAATGCGTTTAAGGAAGTGGTATGGGGGCAACATGGATTTTGGGTGATTGTTTGCGGGGGGGATGGTTTTTTAAATTAAAATTAATTTGTGTTTTTTTTGAATGCCCCTCTTCTGTTGAGTGGTTCTTCTTCCCCCCCAGAACCTCTTTTGGGGGAAGGTTGAAGGATTCCCAAAGAAAAACTCAACCAATCAAAACAGGATGACCGTGTTGTTTTCCAATGGAACTCCACTGGGCATCACTTCAGTTTGGCCAATCCATTCGATGGGCCGCGAGTTTTTCTCTCACAGGGGTCTGCGGCCAGGATTGGGAGATATGACGCCACCCTACCGCCCGCCATCAGCGGCCCCCTTGAGCAACTTCAACGTCCAGGCATGGCTTGGGGGGAGTTGGACGCCTTTGTGTGGGTCGGAGGAAACTGGGGACCCTTGATGGGGGTGCCCGTGGGTTCTCCTCAACTCACGTCCCGAGTTTGCGGACTTTTTGGTTCGGACCATTCTAGTGGAAAAAAAAAAAAAAAACATCGAACTTTGGGCCATCGTGAAGCGAGTGAAGCTACCAAAAAAGGTGCACCAAACCTCCCTGGCAAGGGTACGTTTTCGGGGCTGGCTTCAAAGGTAAGCCAACATATTCACGGCATGGACCATCAAGAGTGTTCACCCGTGACACCCTTTTGTTGACGGTATAACATACCGCCTGCAAGTGCACCATGGGTGCACTTGCAGTATCTCGCAGTTTCTAGGAAAATATCGGTTGCTGGATGTTTGCGAGCCTTCTGTGCCGTTGCTTCTGGATCTTCAAGGATTCAGAGCACTTTTCATCTGACATACTGTTCTTCTGATCATGGCACAAGGTGTTTGAAGTCGCTTCACTCCAAAGGCTCTTCACCGAAATGCTCACGACTGCCCGCGCCGACTCAAAATGGGTTGCTGTTTGAGGGGATTGGTTGCTGTCCCGAGGGGTCGGACCCTCCCTAGGGTCCATGAGCATCTGGGCAGTTGAGCCACAATCAAAACCGATTCGGGTAGATAAAGGTGCGTAAGGGACAATCCCAATCATAAATAGCTGCGGATATCCGCCTTCTTACATTATGCTGATAACATGGAGTCTCCACGACCCTTAAAAAGTGGGGTCATTACTCCCAAAATGCTGGGGTCGTGGACCCATTTTTGATTCGGGTGGAGAGTCTAGGTAGATGACTATAGGCCTCTCTCTAGTCAACCTTAACTTGGTTGCTGTGAACACTCCAGCAATAAGTTCAACTTGTGGGTCCAATGGACAATCCCCTGTTTCCAACAACTATTCTGATTATGACTCCGTTGATGACTCCGTTGATTCGCGGGGTTTTCTCTCGGGGCGAACCACTGAGTCGGTACCTTTTCTCTCGCTCCGGACTTGGCCACGAACCATTTCCGAACCTAAGGAGCAGCCGATGCACAAAGCGTGCATCGGAGAAAGCCGCCCCAGAACGCGGGGAACGCTTTGACGTTTTGACGTTCAATCTGACGATATATGGCTATTTGGTTGCGAATCTTGGGAGTTTATGTTTTTTTTTTGGAAACAGGGGAGTTTCCATTGGCCCACAAGTTGAACTTATTGCTGGAGTGTTCACAGCAACCAAGTTAAGATTGACTAGGCCTATAGTCATCTTCCTGGAGTCTCCATGACCCTTTAAAAACAGGTCCATGACACATTATTTAGGGTAATGACCCCATTTTTAAAGGGTCATGGAGACTCCAGATACATCCCTTTGCGGAGGCAAGAGCTGTTGCAGAAAGATGTAAGCTGCACTTTCCAGCCATCTGAGCAAGTCCACACCACCCATCCTTGAAGTCCATAGGTCCTTAAGCGTCAAAGGTCCCCTAATGTTGATTTCAACTTCAATCTGGAGGACCGTACTGGTAGGGAGGGTGTAGTGGTTGAAGCATATTCTGTTATTTCCCCTGTTGGTGTTAGAGAGGATCAATCTTGCTGGACGTATGTTGTTTTCCTTTGATTCCAGAGGCCTACCCAAGAAACAGGGAACTTCCCCCATAATCTTGGCAGTAACCCATTCCTAAGTTGGAATTTTGAGGGTCCAGGTCTCCGCAAACGGCGGAGCTTCGTGTTTTTGTTCTGCTTCGGATCGATGGGGGATGATTTTCTGATGGTCCAACATTAAGGCAGTGACCCCCCTCCCCAGTTCCCTCCCCAGTTCGCTCCCCAAACGGGGTCCACATCTCCAACTCCGAGTCGCCTAACTTGGGCTACCTAGAGTCTTCTTCTGACCCTTTAGAAAGGTGGTTGGGTTTCTATTTGGTTCCTTGGTAATGACCCCATTTGGGTGTGGCTCAAAATTATCCAGGAGGGGCAAACCGCAGGTTTTGCTCCATGTTTCCACTCACCAGGGCAACACATTGTGGGCCCGGTTTTTTGAGCCACGGCCATTTTTAAAGGGTGGTTCCTTGGTAATTACCATTTTTATTTCGGTTGGCTTAGGTTTCCGTTTTGGTTGGGTTTTTGGTTTCCATTTGGTTGGGTTTCCATTTTTATTTCGAGTCAGAGGGAGACTCCAGGCCTCGGCCCCGGACGACTTGGGAGCTGCCTCCCCCGTCGGCCCGAGGAGGATGACCTGAACCCCGGCTTCGGCAGCGTGGAAATCGGGGCGCCCAGCTGCAGCCAGTGGTGGGCGCAGCACTTCGGGCCGCAGCTGGCGCCTCGGAAAGAACTAACTCAGTTGTTCAGTGTCACCCTTTTTCCCTTTTTTCCCCAACAGCTGGAAGCTTTGGGGAGCCCAGATAGGCTCCGGGGTGGTCCAGGGTGGCCCTGAGCTAAGGTTCAACGAGGGTTCCACGAGGTTCCACCAGGGTTCCACCAAGGTTCCACCAGGGTTCCACCAGGTTCTGCGAGGGCTGGGTGGTGCGAACTAGAAAGAGCACCACATGCTGCTAAAAAATATCACCTGAGCTTATTTTTCGTGGCCCCACTAAAAATGGTCCTTAAGCCCCCAAAAAAATCACACCATCATCAACCCCCCCCACCCCCCCCAAAAAAGACACAAAGTGTTCCCTTCCAGGGTCACTGAACTGAGATTTAAAAAAACAAAAAACATGGGCCTCCTAAACACCTTGGGCGATCGGGCACTTATTAGGTGCGCAAAACCAAAACCGAACTCAAAGGGCCGAATCAAAAGGCTGTGGCTCAATAAAATGTACCCAAATGGCACCTGGGTAAATGGACAAAGATCAAAACCTGCGTAACCCTAGTTCTTTAATTTCGAGCCACACCCAAAATGGGTTGCTGTTTGAGGGCCTGGTTGCTGTTTCCAAAGGTCGGACCCTCCCTAGGGTCCATGAGCATCAGGGCACGTCAGGGAAGTGGTTACTTTAGGTCTCCCAGCAATTGGTGCCCTTTCTCACCGATTGAATTTTGGTTGGGAGGGTTCCCTTGCTACAATAGACTACAGAAAAAAGGGTATCCTTATTTCAACCTCTCTACTTGGAGGACCTAGGATTAGTAACCATGGTTATAACCCATTTAGCATGGTTATAAGTCTCCCAAGTGGGTTATAACCATGGTTACGAACCACCATAGTAACGCTGGTTATAAACTAGAGACTTGCAATCATGGCTTTGGTGGGCTATAACCATGGCTGCTGACCAGTTACTAAGTACCATTCCCCTTCAAGCTGGAGCCCTAGGAGGCTCTCCGACCTCATGATTTAACTACGAATTTTCATCTGGACCCCCTTCCAAATGGTTGGTGGACATAACTCACCCCTAAATGATGTCCACCAGAAGGCCCCTCATGAAAACTCATGCCCATTTGAGGTCTTTGGGGGATTTCATGTGCTGCCAGTGGGTGGTCTTCCTTTCTTTGGCTCCTTCGCAGCCAACCGGTTCCAGAAAGTTTTGTGTTGTTCGTTGTTTTCGGTGTTTTTAGGTGGTGACAGGTGGTAGTTTCCACTAAATGTGTTTTAAACTTTTGGCAGGGGATCTGAAATCGCACAGCCCAGGTTTGGTTTCCCTGTGCACCAACCTAAGAGTACCCTTGGCAAACCCACACCTTCCAAAGACCCTTTGTGAAACTCGGCTGGTGGAAAATCCCCGGTTACTGACTTTGACAATCGCCAGACACGGCGAGAAAACAAGGACCCAGAACAATATCTTCCCGTCTGTGGACAACTTCCACCCCTGGTATATAGGTGGTTCATCCAAGTACCTAGAGTCTCCATGACCCTTAAAAAATGGGGTCATTACCCAAAATAAAGGGGTCATGGACCTATTCTTATTTCGGGTCATGGAGACTCCAGGCGAGACACACAAATTCATTGGTAAAACCAAAACATGGGCTTGATCTATGCCGTGCAACTGGTCTGACAATGAGCATGCGACCAAGAGTGCACGGCACCACGCTAAACAAATTACTAAACAAGGGCGTTCGACAATCGCACAAAAACCCAGATTTTGAAAGGAGCCAACCGGGGTTCAACCATATTTTGGGCGTCCATTTTTCAGAGTTGTCTTGTGGAGAGTTGTTTGTGCTCTTGTACTAGAACAGCAGCGTTCTGCTTTGCCCGCGGTTTCTTCAACTAGTCACAGGCAAGGTCAATCAAAAGCTGTCTCTAGCAGGAGCCGTAGTTGTACCTAGAGTCTCCATGACCCCTAGAAAAAGGGGTCATAACCCCTTAATTTGAGGTAATGACCCCCTTTTTAAATGGTCATGGAGACTCTTGGTAGTTTGCCGTGGACGATCCGAGGATGGGGACGAGTTCGCGGAAGCCTCCGTTAGTTGCAGTCTGTGCCCTCCACTGGGCCTGTGCCAGTAGCCTCTTCCGGATTAGAGTACGGAATCTGGACTGGAGATGTGTCTCAACTTTGTTTCCAAATGGCTTGAGTTTGCAATACGGGGTAATTAACCGAGAGGAGCCCACTTTTTGCACTTGCTCCTTGAAAGGCAGGATTGGACACATCGCTGGCCTTCGAACCCTTTGGTTTGCTGATGCAGGAACATAAACCAGTTTCCTGGTCGAGCAGTGACATTTGGGCGAGGTCTACTGGTCGATGTCCCATTACTCTCAGTGCATTCATAAGTCGTTTGGACAAGTGCGCGTGGTATCTGACTCACCCGAGCTACCTGGCAGTTGGGTTTTATCGCGGCGCGTGACCTTACGCTGGGAACGTGTCGCGATCGCGGTCTTTTGCCTTTGGCCTGGGAAAAAGCTGCGAGGCCGTCGCGGCGCGTTTTTTTTTCAGGTTTAACAAGTGTTTTTGTTCTTTTCTTTTTTCCGAGGGTACTGCTTTTGGGGGGGTTTAAAGTTTAAAAGGAAAACACATCATTTTGGAGGGGTTCACCAAAGAAGCAGACGGACCCTTTTGCGGTTCAAACACCGCAAATATGATGAGGCACCAAGGGAGCCTCTAGTTCTGTTCTCTGTTCAGAGGAAAGACCAGCCGATGCCAAAAAAAAAGTGTAGTTGAATTGAGTAAATGATCCATCTTCAAGTTCCCCCTCTTCTTACTGTGGATGGACAATCTCCTGTAAATACCGACCGCCAATGGTTTCAACCATGGTTTCAAAGTGGCGCGAGATGGTTTTTATCCATCCACAGGCGTGCTTTTCCAGGGGTAGGCTTAGGATACATTTTGTCCATTTTGCCAGTGACTCAAATTGAAGCAAACAACAAGATAGGGTAGACTTAGGATACAAATCTTTATTTTTCCAGTGACTCAAATTGAAGCAAACAACAAGATAGGGTAGACTTAGGATTCTTTTGTTCATTTCACCAGTGAAATAAGATATACATTCTATCGCTGGGCCGAACTCCAACCATGCCAACGGCCGTGAAACCTCAGGCGAAGCAGGCCGTCACCACTGAGTCGCTTGAGGACCGAGAGCCAGAGGATTCGAGGCTCAAAGCCCCAGACTCCACCCATCAGGCATAGGCCGTGGTTTGAGGCATCACCGCATGGTGGTTTTAGACATCCCCGGTTCCTTCCAAGGGAAGCCTCTTCAAATCATTACCTCTTAAAAACACGAAGCTTTTCACAACTTTTTGGGGTAACATGGGCTATAGGTCTGTAAAAGATGAGAACTTCCCCAGGTGGCTTGGAGTTTTAAGGGGTAAGCTTAAGAGCCAGCCATAGAAAAGTGTGCCCAAAGGGTCCCTTGGTACCTTCTGAGGCGGAACTGAACGACCCCTTTTTCCTTTCAAAAGCCATCCTCATGAAGTACTTGGACCTTTTGGGTGGATGTCCGCCTCTTGGCTTATTTATATTGTCCATGTGCTCTGGAATATGGTTTATTTCCCCTTGTTGGTTTTAAAGGGAACTTATCACCACTGGAAATCTGTTTTTTTTGTCCAGGGGTCTTAAGAAAATGGAAGACATGGTTCGGGTACAGTCCTTTTTGTACCAGACGTCGGGTGCAATTTTCACGGCACCTGGCCGCACTGTCGACTTTGGACCCTGCCAGGTGGAGGGATGTCTTGTGAGGCTTGCTCAGGGCTCCTTAAATTCTCACTTGCCCAAAGCGAATCGACCTGAAATGACCTTTTGGTTTTCCCATTTTGGTTTTCCCATTTTTAGTAAAGGTCCCAAAAGGTGATTACCTTTTATTTCCAGGTCCTTTGGGCAAGATGGCCATTTTGCTTGCAACCATTTGAAGCGCGGTCAGAAATACGACAAGGAAAGTAGTCTACGCTTGGACATCCATACAGCTCAAGTGGTGGTAGCTTCCACAGGGCTCCTTAGATAGCGATTTTGCTTGCAACCATTTGAATCATGTCTGGATTTTTCAACACCAAAATACAGAAATGGAAACCACCATTCGCAAGTTGCAATGTTCAAGAATGTAAGGATCCCTGTTAGTCCTTGGTTTGCTAGGTCCCCCAGCAATTGGTGCCCTTTCTCACCCGTTTCTTTCTTGGTTGGGAGGGTTCCCCTACTAAAATAGACTGCAGAAAAAAGGGTACCCTTATAGGCGTCTCGGCCCAAGCTGCTTCGCCTGAGGGAGTGGTGCGCCCAGGGCCCCGCTAGGCAGCCATCTTCCGGTTGGGCGTCTACAAAGCCGGGTACTCACCCCCGGTCGCCCCGTCTGGTTTGGTGCGCGGCTCCCCTTGCCGTGGTGCTTGGTTCCGTTGTTGTGTTGCGCTCTTGGTCCTTGCTGGCCCCCTGTGGTCTCCTTTTGATGGTTGTTCCGCTTTGGTCCTGGTGTTTGGCTTGCTTTGGTTGGGCGCCGCTGCATGTGCCCATCCCTGTTCTAGGGATGGGCCCTGTTCTTCGGCCCCCTCCCCTCACTGCATGGTGGCGATTTACTGCCCTACGTGCCGGGTGCAAACCTCATGGTCCCTCACCGGAGATTCACCTTCGGCAGGGATCATACTTTGTGGTGTTGATGCTCTACATTCCTGGTGGCCTGGGTGGTTCTGCTTCTTTGGAGACCTACTGCTGTATAGTATTTCAGCTTTTTACTACACCTTGGGCGTGACCTTGGATACGACCTTACCCTGCCGCGCAGCTTCTTGCTACTGCCGTCGACCCGTTGCTACAGCATCATTTACTGGCTCTGTGGGGTGGATCTACCGGTATCTGTTCAACGTGACGGTGCCCAGCAACAGTATTCTATGCCGGCTTCGGATGGCGTCGTTGGGATCCTATGTCTTCTTTACTTGGGGCATCCTGGGATTGCGGCTCCTTCAGGATACACTTCCTTTACAGCCGTGATGCGGGACGCTGGCTCCCACTGGGCCCCTCCCTTCCTGCCCTTTCTGGGCCGGAGGGTCTGATGACTTGGATGAGTTCCTTTAACGGACTTAATTCGATTCCTCCTTTTGAGTATTTCTTTGTCTTTGCACGAGGGGATGTTGCTTTGCTCCCCCCTACTGGGCTCTGCCCCTTTTCTACGGCCCTCGGGCCCTGTCACCGGTGGTTGGGCGGCATGCCCCTCTCACCAGCGCTACCGATCGTGGAGGCGCCTCGTGCCAAAAGGGTACCCTTATTCTATCCTGGACCTAGTTTGTTTACAGGGAAACCCAAAGGGAAACCACAATTTGGGACCCGGATGGATGAAAGGTAGGGACACCCAGCCACTTGGAGGAGGAGAATCCTTCGCAGATCACTTCAGCGGGCGTGTTGTTTTTTTTGCAAGCGCTCCAACTGGGATTTTTCCCTTCAAAGCTTTGCCCCATTTTTTTCCTACGGAGCGATCTTTCCACGAGGCGCATGATCCCATGATTTGTATCAGACCTTGCAGCGTTGCTGTGATACCAAGCTGGATCCCCTTGAAAGTGATAAAGTATTCAAGTCGCCATGGGCTCAGATTCTCAGGTTTAATTCTGGGTTTTTTGGATCTGTCTCTGGGTCAAAACCAATGGGATCCAATTCTGGGGTAGATGAATTCACCACCCAATTTAGAACCTATTTTAGTGGTTGGATTGGGATGTTTACTGGGGGTACGATTTGGATGTTGACCCACCATCTGAGTATGTTCATTTGGGTGTGGGTCAAAGTTTCGGGTTACCCTATTTTTGACCCACAGCCATAGACTGGTTGACTTCCAATGGGCCTTTCGCGGACCCGTCGAGAGCTGAGAGCGAAAGCCCGGCCTTCGCCTCTCGCGAGGACTTCGGTGGTTCTTCATATGCGTGTTGCATGAGGCGGAAGGGAGGGCAGGACTTGACGCCGAGAATGTTACGACCCCTGATTTATTGGCCTCCCCAGCTTTTTCACCGGTTCTGGAATCGTTTTGACCCTCCATGTCAGGGCCCATCGCGTGTTGTTGTTTTTTGGTGACCCTTTGGTGCATTTTGCCAAGGGATGTTAGGACTTGAACTTGTTTGCCAGCTGATGGGTTTTCCGTATTGAGCCACTAAAAGTTAAACTTTTAGCAGGGGAGCAGAAAGCAAACGAGGACCCCTGATGAAAAACCTGCCCAGTTATTAATCGGTTCTCACTGGAAGAAAGGATGCGCCACGAAGAAGGGCCCCTCTTAATTAAATTTAATAATAAGCGTGGAGTTTATGAATCAGGAGTCAGCATTGAGCATCGTTTTGACCCTCCATGTCAGGTCCTTTCACAGGTTTGGGACCTCAAACAGGGCCCATCACGATTCTTGAGAGAGGGGGTTCTTGAACAAAGCACCGCACTTCCCAGAAGCTTGGACCCTCTAAACTCCAACTTAAAGATGGGCTATAGGCTGTGACCCAAAGTTGTCATTTGTTTGATGGGTAGTTTGAATGTCCAGGTTCCCCGATCCGAATCAGAGGTCCTTGGCTAGTGTGCACCGGAAGATCTGGAGAAGGACAGTGGCAACTCATTCTTCACTGTTCTTAGCCAGTTTTGTAGTTGTGTGGTTCTGTTCATTTTTAGCACGGGGCTGCAAAAAACCGTTTTTGGCTACCATACCAAGGGGGGAAAGCATGTCTTGCCCGCGAAGTTCAGCAAGAGCTCACCGACTTGGTGGTTCAACGAATCCTCCGGTTCCTGAAAGGTGTTTAATTGTTTTAGTTCGTTGAAAGGTGGTAGGAGTTCCGTATTTGACCCACAAGTTATGCATTTTTGCGGGGGGTTCTGAGGACAGCCCATGGTATGAATCTTTGCCTTGGCAAATTAAAATTCCTTGTCGACCTTGTGGCTTGCTAGTTTTCGTCTTCTGCCGGCCTGAAAACATTCATATTTCTTGCTTTTGGGGCCTTTACAGGCGCGCAATGCACGTTGACCCAGCAGAAGCTGGGACGGAACAGAGAGAATTCCGACACATCTTACGTGCGCACAATGGCCCGCCTACAAGAATTGGCCGCAACATAGTTTCTTACTGTGAGGGAAGTTGTGAAACCGGACCCTGGACCCTCAAAATGTCCTTAAATTTATTGTATTGATCAAATTTATTGGGTGTCTTTGTTTTTTTGGTGGT